AAGTTGATTCTGCTGGTATAAGGAAAGAGTTGAAGTGATCACGGCGGCGCGCACACAAACACACACACACACACACACAACACATATCAGTTCCAGCATTGCTAACTTGACAGCGCAGTTGGTACTTTATCAAAATAAAATACAGTGAACCAAACATCAGCGCGTGTCACCGTAGGAATGCGACGGAAACACAAAGCCTATAATTTACATAATAAATAATAGTTTAGCATTCAGATACGTCACTTCGCAAATATGGAAATATTATGGAATATTTGGATTTGTGCCGAATGAGAGAGGTAGGATACACGAGCACAAAGCTTCATTTCGCAAACAGTTGAGTGCACAAGCCTTTAAAGTATACTCCTTTTGTCAGCCTGCGAGAGACGCATTCAGAATTAGCACATGGTCACTGTCTAGTGGGCTTTGTTTTCAAGTGCGCAACTCATGGCATTCGCTCGCTATTCTTCTCCCGGGGGCCGGTTATCAAACAGCGTTGCATTGCTGCGGGCGCCCCCTTCTGGATTGGGGGTGAATTGCCTGTATTTGTTGTAAGGTCTCATGCACCGAACCGAGATGCCCGTACCGTGACAGTTCGGTATGAATACATGTATCGTTCCACCCCTAATATATATATATATATATGTGTATGTATGTAAGTATGTATATATATATATATATATATATACACAGAGACCCATATCAGACAGTATTAGGTCATTTCTATAATTGCATTTGCATAACCTGCCTACCTGACAAGCAAACTGTAAATAATTATGTTAGTAATCTTTAATTGAATTTCAGTGTACATCTCATTTGACATAAGTGAATAGCATTTTAGCACTGCATTGGCCCCATATTGGATTGACCGCTATATCTAAAGTTTCCATCTGTGAGACACTGGCGTTTCCTTTGGTACCTTGCTAAGCTCCTCCATGGTTTCCTCATAGAGCGAATGCTTCAGGAAGAAGATAAATCCTTTGCCATAACCAGTTGAGACGCTGCTCATGGACATATTCCTCTTAATAACATCAGTCACGGTGAGGCCTGACATCTTATAGTATGGGAGAGCCAAGTGACAGTCCTTATCAAACCTGCAAATCAAACATGAGATCAAAGAATGATATCTGCGATTACTGCTCACAGCTCGTCCGATCATGAGACGCCGCTGACCTGCTGAAGCGGTCTCCTAAGTGAGTGCAGCTCTCCTGAAAGGCCTGCTGCAGCTGCGCTCTCTCGGCAGACTCACAGTCCTGCAGGAGCAGTGCCGTCCGCAGCAGCAGGTGACCCTCGCTCAGCAGGTGAACGCAGCTCTGAGACGACGGGCTCGACTGCTCGTATCGCTTACTGTACTCCACCTGATGGAAACAAGGAGGAGTGTTTACACTGAAAACCTGCATGACTGTGGTAAAGAGGTTTCATTTGGTCACATAAGAAAACATACTGTTGTCTGTCACCAGTGCTGGGTAAAATACTAACACATTGTAGTCCATTACTGATTACAAATTACATCACCAAAACTGTAGTTAGTAACATGATATGGATTACACATATTACGTAATGTAGTCTGACTACTTTCTGATTACTTTTGACCTAACCTGTTTATCACATAGACTAGAATGGGATTATTATGTACCATATTTATATACAAAAATAAATAGAAAAACTGTAAAAAACAAAGAGAAAGAAAATGTGTGAAATGCAGTAAACATAACATTAGAGCAGAGGATCCCAAAATGTATATAAGTGGTCGGTTCATTTAGAAAGGAAAATTTAAAAAAAAAATATATATATATATATACAGTGGGTACGGAAAGTATTCAGACCCCCTTAAATTTTTCACTCTTTGTTATATTGCAGCCATTTGCTAAAATCATTTAAGTTAATTTTTTTTCCTCATTAATGTACACACAGCACCCCATTATGATGTTTGGTTGGTTCTATGGCTTCATAGTGACCACCTTACTGATGGTATGGACTAGAGGCTTCTTCGGACGGGGCTCCGGCATGGGAACCATGGTGGGTGAGTATGATCCATTTCTAAGTATATATATGTATACTGTATATATATATATATATATATATATATATATATATAATTTTTAATCCAAATAGAAAATGTAGTAAATACCAATATATACCGTATATCGCATTTCAGCCAAAAAACACTGAGATATGATTTGTTTTTGGCCATATCGCCCAGCCCTGTCTGTCACTTCTCACATCAGTCAGACACTCTTTTTCTGTCGATGTGGGCAGTACTTGGCCAGAATAAAATATAGGACCTCTACAGTAGTCTAGCTCTACAATCGTTTGTGATAACTGAATAGTTATTTTGATAAGACAGCTGAAGATACAGTACTATTTCTCTGTAGAGCTGCAGTGTGGACACAGAAGTGATGACGTAGAGGTTCCAGCCGTGACCGCTGTCAGCCGGCTCTGTGGGTTTGCAGACAGAGGTCTTCCTGGATCTGAAGAGCATAACAGTCATAGATCACAATTGCATTTACTGCTCATGTTTTGCAGAGTTAAGATGCGGCCACATTTACTGTTGTTTGCTGAATTTTCACGGGCGAAATCCAGTCATTTCTATTGGAGTCCACACAATCAGAAAATTTGGGTGAAATATTTCCCAATGCAGATTTTGCAATTAGTTGCAAAGCAACAGAAAGCTGCTTGATTTATAAGTGACTTCTACGTGAGCTGTACTTCATACAGCACTACACTATTGACCATTTCTGCCCACAAAATCTTGACGAATTTCAACAACATTTTGTAAATATGACCGTACCTTTAGTCCACTGCTCTACATGACATGTGCCAGCAACAGGCTACTTCATTACAAATACCAATTAAAACAATGTAATTGCAATGAATTACTTGTTAAATTGCAGGGATTAGTTTAGCTGTGGTTGGTTCAATTCAGTTATATGCATTAAAGGTTTCTCAAAATAAGAGGAAGTACCGAGCCGCAGTGAAAGCTTTGCATCTAACTTGCGATGACTGGATGGTCACATCTGAACCAAACTGAGATGTTAGATGAGCTATGAACGGCCGCATGCAGGTCTCACTCACAGTGGGTTAGGGGGAATTTCAGGGTTTGTCCAAACTTAGGATCATGCAGCTCGCTAACTTACAGGAAGGACCTGGACAGAAGGCTTTCCAGTGCTGGCGTCGAGGACGGCTCTAGACCTACAGCTACTAAAATGCCTGTCAGGGTTCTGTGTTCCCTCGATTCACTACAATAAGAGTTACAGGCCATTTACACAGCACACATTTGCACAGGACACTAGAGGTCGACCGATTCATCGGTTTTGCCGATTAATCGGCACCGATAGTTGATTGGCGGAACTATCGGTTATCGGCAAAAATCAATGCCGATAGTTTTCCGGGTTGCGTCCGTTGCTGGAGTGGCTGAAAAGGGTCCGCTGCCATTATACAGTACGAGAGCGGCCTCTAGAGGCAGAAATCACTAACAGCACGTGTTGTTTGTTTTGACACGTGACACTGCGTGCTGCACAGAGCGGGAAACTTCAAACCTGCATTTAAATGCAGCCGACAGAAAATTTTTTTAAAAATAGTAAAGCGCTGTTTTAGTTTTCGTTTACCGTTTTAAAAACTATCGGTTGATTAATCGGTATCGGCCAGTGTGGTCCAACCTAGCTATCGGTATCGGTAAAATCCACTATCGGTCGACCTCTACAGGACACCACGATACATCTACAAACCAAACAGCATCATTCATTCTACTTCAATTCAACCCATATGAGAAACATTTCCCAAGGTGTTTTAGTAATCAGGATATAAATGTGTTGAACTGCAGTGATTGTGAACACACACACACACACACACACACATACGTGTTTCTGCGGGCTGTTCTCTCCGTGTCCTCTTTGCTGTCCACATCTGCTGCTGTCAGGAGAACGATCTGATTTCCGTCCTGACAGAGAACCTTCAGCCCAATGAAGAGCTGGATCCTCAGAGCACACACCTCCATCGTGATGGGAGGACAGGCCTGACAGGACACCGTTCAGATATTGACATGTTAGTGCTTCCTGGACATGCAGAAATCACAGCCATGATTCTAGGGCCTTGTGAATGGTTGATAAGGGTTTTCTGAGTGATTCTAATCTGAGCTCTATCCACATTAGTTTTTCACACAAATTTACCACATTGATCATCAACAGAATGGGGCTTTTTTTAAGTGATTTCTGTGGAATAAAGGACTTATTTTGTTAAATTTCACTAATGTGACTGTAAGCCACTACACTATTTCTTTGTCAAGATATGAATCAAGTCTCTTCTTCAGAGTAAGTGTCTGGGACACTTTCATCCATCTGCCAATTGAAAATCGTGTGTAAAGTAATAATAGCAGAGTAATAGCCACATGATGTATCATTTAAGTTCACAGAACAAACAGTGCAGAACTTTTTTAAGGTTTAACCCTATAAAGCCTACTGTATCATATTTGATACACAATACTCTAAATTATCAACATGATTAAAACTTTGCTGAAAAACCTGTTGTACACAATCATGTTCATGCCTTCTGTCATCTGATTGAGCGTTAGTTTATTAGCAAGTTAAAGGCCTTTTAGTATAATTGTGAAAATATCTTTTTTTTTTTTACATCATTTTACATAATTTGTAGAAATGTGATAATACATCAGGCTTGAGTCTGATGAGCTCTCAATCATCATTGTATTGCATTGCATTATATAATATTGCATTCCCACAATAAAAAGTAGACAGCTTTAATCATAAAACTAAGCATTTAAATATCATCTTATTACAACATATCATTGGAAGATAATAGAGTGACAACTGATATGCATATGCATTTTATGTAAGTAGTCTGCTGTAGTGTTGTAAGCTGTTACAAGCTTAAAGGGATAGTTCACCCAAAAATGAAAATTAGCCCATGATTTACTCACCCTCAGGGCATCCTAGGCGTATCTGACATTCCTCTTTCAGACGAACACAATCGCAGTTATATTTAAAATTGTCCTGGCTCTTACAAGCTGTATAATGGCAGTGAATGGTGCCCCTGGTTTTGAAGCCCAAAAAAGTGCATCCATCCATCATAAAACTACTCCAGTGACGAACGCGGAAGCACAGAGGAGAAAGCAAAAATGTCACAAGATTTCGATATAAGGCCAGCCATATTTGTTTGAATCGAGGTACTCCGCGAGATGGAGGAGGCTCCAGCGGCGACGGCACAAAATACAGATGTAGTTCACGTGGTTTCCTTGTGCTGTAAACAAAACTTGGTTCTCGCGAGACTACACTCTCTCCCCGGAGCATACGTTGTGTCCTCCGCTGCGCCTGCGTCATGCACTCGAGCGCCTTGTCGTGAACGCGCCTCCTTGAGCGACCGGAAGCTGGAGATTACAGTTTATACACTTTTTAAAATAGATATATTTCTCACACTAACGCTTCGTTTCGCTTCAGAAGGCCTTTATTAACACACCGGAGCTGTGTGGAGTAGTTTTATGATGGATGGATGCACTTTTTTGGGCTTCAAAAACAGGGGCACCATTCACTGCCATTATACAGCTTGGAAGAGCCAGGACAATTTTAAATATAACTGCGATTGTGTTCGTCTGAAAGAGGAATGTCAGATACGCCTAGGATGCCCTGGGGGTGAGTAAATCATGGCTAATTTTCATTTTTGGGTGAACTATCCCTTTAATACTTCCACTGAGGGGTTTTAATAGCAGTACTTAGTTAGACGACTGAGAATCAAGGAACGTCGCAGGTGTGAAAAACGAGAAAAATATACAAAAAGCATGGAAACCCATGATGACTTGCTTTACCTTCATGGTGGTGTCGATGTATGGGTCATCAACCCGAGCCGCTACAGCACTGCATCTGACAGTGAAACACTGGAGAGCATTCCTACAGCAAACACAACCACAATCAATTTATCTTTTTTACTTTTTAATTCAAATTTAATCAAAATGTTATAAACTGCTTCAGTACAAACATTTAAATATAAACGACAACATTTGGCCAGTCAAAATTATGTACTCTAGAGAACTATGGAATAATACCGTAATATATTACTTCAAAAATGTTAAAATGTTAAGACCATTTTAACTAAAAACCTGCTTATCTCACTATGGAGTGCACCCATAGCCAGCAATTTACAGCACTTCTAATTTCAGGAAGTGGACAGCGAGGGTTTGTCTGTCCTACCTGGTGATGATGTAGAGGAACTGGTCACTGAGCACAGCCTGATGGGTCTTTTCTGGGTACTGGTAGGTGGACACGAGCTCCACTGTGTTCTTCAAGCTGTACATGTAGCCGGTGTTCGGCAAGGAGAAGAAAACAAACATACACGTAGGTTCCCCTCCTTTGGAGATGGAGGCTTCTTTCCGTTTACCTGTTCAGAGAGCGGGAGGAAACCATTCAGTCCAAAAGAGAGAGGGGTGTGGGGGAGCGAATGCAGCACATGCAGTGTTCACTTACCAGTAAACATGGGGTGGAGCTGCAGGGAATGCAAGCGTGTCTCCTCAACGCTGCAGCCTTGAAAGAAATCAGGCGCAAACCGCCTAGACAGGGCAAACTAGAGAGGTGACATCTGACAAACAGAACGCAGCTCATCTTCTTAAGCTGTTCACTATACCTGAATAAGACGTAAACCACGCTCATGTCCCCTCGGCTCTCTGCCTCCATACCGGTCCACTCCAGAACTAAAGAGACGCCACACTCCTGCGCTTCATTTCCCAACATCTCCTGATGCTTTGGGAACAGAAAGAAGTCCTCTTGCGCATGGAGGGGACTGAATCCATCTTTTGTCATCTCTAAAACAAAAAATATGGAAAATCAGAAAATTAATGCAAGGGTGCATGGCATAAATGTGACCCTGCAGCACAAAAGCAGTCTTAAGTCGCTGGGGTATATTTGTAGCAATAGCCAACAATACATTGTATGGGTCAAAATTATTGATTTATCTTTTATGCCAAAAATCATTAGGATATTAAGTAAAGATCATGTTTCATGAAGATATTTTGTAAATGTCCTACTGTAAATATATCAAAACTTAATTTTTGATTAGTAATATGCATTGCTAAAAACTTCATTTGGACAACTTTAAAGATGATTTTCTCAATATTTAGATTTTTTTGCACCCTCAGATTCCAGATTTTCAAATAGTTGTATCTCGGCCAAATATTGTGCTATCCTAACAAACCATACATCAATGGAGAGCTTATTTATTCAGCTTTCAGATGGTGTATAAATCTCAATTTCGAAAAATTGACCCTTATGACTGGTTTTGTGGTTCAGGGTCACCAGCATAGCACGCACACAGCCCAAGGCTTGAATTGTTTAGTTAGTAATACCTGCGTCTTCATCAATGCTGGATTCCGTCATGATATCTTCAGGTAGCAGTGCGTGCTCCTCTGCAACCGGGCTGCTCTTCTGCCGCGGGGTGAGCTTTACCACCAGCACCTCCAGCTCCGTCTGAAGGGCTATGTATCCAGCACAGAAGGCCACCTGAGACGGGCTCCAGCCCTGGATATGAAGAATCAGCACCCTCTCGAAGTCCAGCACAGAGAGCTGCTCGCTCAGCGTCTGACGCTTCAGACTGAAGACCACCAAACTCTTGGCACAGCCCACTAGAAGATCACCTGCCAAGATAACGCAAGAGGACTCAGTTACATGCAAACTTTCTCAGTTATATGATGTGTGAATTATGAAGTGTGCATTTTGTGTTTGTATCTCAGTTAAATGTGCAGAGTGAGCTATAAGTAAACCACTGGAAGGTTCACCTCCTGATGAATGCAAACACTGAGACTGACATGTTGACTTCTGGCTTGACCAATGGTTTGAGGGACATCCTGTTAAACTCGAGTGTTTAATGATATGGATATAGAGAGCATCATAGAGACTTATGAGTGGCCACTTTTGACTTCAGCAACTAAGACACCACATAGAACAAACTTGCAACACTCTGGCAACATCATTGTAGAAACTACATAGAAATGGTCTTACGTCACTTGTAACACAGTAGCAATGCCCTAACAACCACCAAAAACACCCTATCAACCACCATCCAGGGTGTCTCGAATGGCTTTTTAGTTCAGTAGCCAGTGGCAGGAGAATGAATAGGTCGTTTCTTGGGTTGTTCCAGTGCACTGTAAAACCCTGTGAACAACAAGTGCTCTCTGTTCACTTTCTGACCTGCCACGTTTTCTTGAGTCTCTCAAGTCAACAGAAACAGATGGCAAGCACATATTAAATTATGTTTGATAGCTTTTACAGTTACAACTACAATACCATTCAGAAATTTGTGGTCAGTGAGATTTTTTTTAAAGGAATTAGAGGGGTCATATGATGCTGCTAAAAATAACATTATTTTGTGTATTTGGTGTAATGAAATGTGTTTATGCGGTTTAAAGTTAAAAAAACACATTATTTTCCACATACTGTACATTATTGTTTCTCCTCTATGCCCCGCCTTTTTGAAACGCGTCGATTTTTACAAAGCTCATCGTTCTGAAAAGCGAGGTGTGCTGTGATTGGCCAGCTATCCAGTGCGTTGTGATTGGCCGAATACCTCAAGCGTGAGACGGAAATGTTACGCCCCTCACCATACTGTTGATGCCGTGTCCGGCCGGAGCGACGAGACAAAAACATTAAAACCCATTACAAACGAGGCATTTGTTGCATCCAGTGAGGACATAATTACTGATTATAATGACTTATACTGTCTTTTTACGCGTTGCATTGCACCGTGCCGTCTATTTCAAATAAATGCTGTTCTTTTGAACGTTCTATTCATCAAAGAATCGTGAAAAATAAAATGTATCGTAGTTTCCACAAAATTATCCGGCAGCACAACTGTTTTCAACATTGATAATAATCAGAAATGTTTCTTGAGCAGCAAATCAGCATATTAGAATGATTTCTGAAGATCATGTGACACTGAAGACTGGAGTAATGATGCTGAAAATACAGCTGCGCATCACAGAAATACATTACAGTTTATTCACATAGAAAAGAGTTATTTTATATTGTAAAAATATTTCACAATTTTACTGTATTTTGATCAAATAAATGCAGCCTTGGGGAGCAGAAAATATTTTTTTTTTTTTTAACATTAAAAATCTTACCGTCTCCAGCAGTAGTGTATGATAAACAAATTACACTGGAATATCAGTTCTGATGTTATTGAAAATGATCAGTGACTTTTAAATCCAGTGTTTAGCAGATGAAGTACCTTGCTCACATGCACATTTTTGTTCAAAATATTAAGATTCACACCACAGGAAACTAAGGACTGGAACGAGACACAGCACCAAAACACAGAATATATAGAAATGTAGTTATTTTTGTGTTAAGTGTCCTCACCGGTAAGACTGCAGCACGCCATACACAGCGGCGGCTCAAACAGAGGGATCTCAATAATCTCCATCTGCTCTTTAGGAGCTCCGCGGAAGGACGAGCCCCGCAGGAGGTGACCCAGCAGACGCACCCCAACACGAGTCTTCTCAGCGGCCTGGTACCTCCAGTTAGTGTAGGCCCTGAGGTAAGTGGCCTTGTTCTTCTCCTCAATGGTCACTAGGTAGTCCCCTACAAACAAACACAGACAAAACAAAAACAAATACATGATCGCACACAAGAATCACCATTATTTGGAAATGTACCATGGTAATAACACGTCACACACAGTAATGAGGGTACTTTCGTGACTACGTTTCTTAAGTACTTTTAAAAAATTTCAAATTAAAAATGTTACTTAACATTCCATTTTAAATCATTGTTTTTCACAATCCTAAATAATCTGCTTTAAAGAAATACACTTGTTTTGATGTGTTGACTAACATATTAAAAGCACATGTGAAGTACTTGATTATAACTGTAGTGTGTTACTTGACATTACATTTATAGTTAACATTTTTTTTAAATATACTTAATTTCAACTTCATAATACATCAAAACACGACATACAAGTTTCAATAGAAATTACATTAAAGTATATTTTAGTTCACCATAAATGCTTGTCAGTGCATTCAGCAGCACAATTTAACCATATAAAAGCAAAAGTAATTATTAAATTACATATAATGATTCCACATTTTTGTGGGTGAAAATGCACTTTAAACTTTAACCGCATTTAATACAGAATTATATATATATATATATATATATATATATATATATGACATGCAATGAAGTGTCCGAAAACATTGCATTCAGTTAACAGCATATTATTTCCGTAATAAGCAGACTTTTTAGAAGTATGCCAAACTCTACTTTGTTTACACAGGGGACCCTGGTACTGTTAAGACTGGTACTGATTGTATATCCCACGATCACTGTGCTGTGCTGCTGTGCTGCTGCCACTGACCCACAGCGCTGTGGCGGATGCGGAGCACGGAGCCCATGCTGCTGAAGCGGCAGATGAGCGGACATCCCTCCCGCTGCAGCTCATACGCCTCGATCTTACAGCCGCCGGCGCTCACCACGAACAGCGCCCCGCCGCCGCAGCACACCAGCCCGGGCTCCTGCTCCGCCGCCACGATGTGCTGAGACGCGAACGGGTGACAGTTATAGACGTGGACCATTTCTGCGGCGGGGTCCGGAGTCTACATGTCTGAGAAGAATCACGGAAGAGCTGCAGAAACAAAGAATACGTGACAGAATAACAACAATCCACATGACACAGGAATTTAAAGGAGGCGTGGCTTCGCGGCCCGGAAGCGGTCTCTAATTGGTCAGGTGCGATCGGTCTACATATCAATGCTGCTATTTTAATTATTCACGGTGTATTTTTTAATTAAATTGCTGTTTAAGTTTCTCGTTGTCATTATTCATGTAATAATAAATTGTTCAGACTACTGCTGGAGCGTCACCGAGTCACGAGAGAGCTGTTACTTTTCTCAGCGCTGGTCAGGCTGAACCAATCACAGTCGTTTGAGTTTATTTACCAAGAATTAAAAAAAAAACATTTTATAAAGATTGATAGGGCGGATTTTAATGTGTATGCCAGGAACTAATTATTACTGTTAAAAGTGTTAAACGATTATATGTGATCACGTTCAAATGTTTTACATAAGACAAAACTCGCCTAGAGATGTGAATGCGGCCCAATGGAGGACTGGTCTTCCTGAGCCACCGGTAAGAGCTCATAACGATCTACATGAGCTGCACAACGCTGAGTGTGCTCTCCACAGTCTGATCAGCATCACATGCCTCAGTCTTGTGACGATCAGCACAAACACATTAACACCGTGAAACAAGTGTACGCTTATGAATGGAAAGTAAAAATAGCTAATAAACACATTTGTGAATATTAAAATAAATAAATAAAAAATAATAATACAAAATAAATTAAATATATATATATATTTGTAAACTGTACTAACTTCCAGACAGTGCGTTGAACATACAATTGAACATACAATTTTCATACCCGTCTGTTGAGAAACTTGTTTGATTGGTTTATTGCATTGTTTATTATTTTTGGATGAATAATAAACAATGCAATAAACAGTGTATCAGAACTGTGATCACAGGGTGAGGTCACAGTTTACATTGAAGTCTACACTCTCCTCGGGAGATTTTTATCATTATATTGTTTATCAAGCTTGATTTACTGTTAATTCTCATCTGTGAGCTACCTTAAAATCGTGCAAATTTACCTAAAAAATATTTTAAAGAGAAAGAGTG